GGCGGGGGGGGGGGGGGGGGGGGGGGGGGGGGGGGGGGGGGGGGGGGGGGGGGGGGGGGGGGAGGAAGAAAAAGCGCGAACAACGTTTTCACTTTCGCCGTCGCGAGAAGAGAGAGAAAATAAAAAAAACAAACAAAATACTTGCGAATGCGTCGCGCAACTTACAAGGCGCTCACAACGAGAGTCAAGTAGAAATATCCGTTAAACTATTATCCGTAATATCTAGAGCTATACACTACCGTAAACTATGCCGCCGCTGTGACCGTCGCGCGGAATTCGCGGATTCCGCATACTTGACTCGCTTCCAAAACCAGTCCGGAACAGTCCCGCGCGTTGTTTACCAGCGAAAAAGAGCGCGCGAATTTTCCCGCGCGGAAAACATTTTTCCACGATGCGCAAAGCCTTTTTCTCCCTGATAGTTTTCTCTTACCCCTTTTCTCCTTCTATTTATTCTTTTCCACGTTATACGTGTGTATTCTGTGAATCTCGTCGCGCAATTTATTCATCGATCGTCATATCGTTGTATCCGCCGTCGAGTCGAGCCTTTCGCGGAGAGATATGTTGTGATCGCTTAGGTACGACAACAGAATCCCACGATTTAGCACACATCGTGCGCGCGCGTGTGTGTGTGTGTGTGTGTATATATATATATATATATATATATATGTTGTAGATTTAAAAATTTTTTTCATTATATTATATGTTTTATATTGTGCGATGTTAATCTCCTTGCAATAGAGATCCCTGTCTGAATTGCAACGCGATTAGCTCGACACGACCTGACCTAGTAATAATAATCACAATTATTATACGCAGATACGCGCGAGAAACTACGTCCCGAACATTAAGAGGATACAGGATGATGGATAAGCTTGACGAACGGGGCTGGTGACGCGGACGGCGAAGGTGGTCGGCTGGTTGGTGAACCGATCGAACGCGGGATGCTGTTCCAGAGTCCAGGTGTTAGCACGGGGCGAGTGGATATCCATTGTTAGCACTCCAAGCCTACAGGCCACGGGCAACCGGGGTTAACAAGAAAGAAAAGAAAAAACAGTTTGTTAGTAATCTGATTACATGACTGACCGACGCGTTAACAATTAATTAACTAGTATAGCTCGCCAGCTGAGAGAAATACAAGTTAGTGTGAAAAGCAACGCTTCTGTGTGTCTATCGCGTGTATGCATATATATATAATGATATGATATAACAATATTATAGATATATATATGAATGTGTCATCATATATATAAGGATATGACATAACAATCGTGATACAGATGTATCGGTGCGCCGATTAATTGTCAGTTAAGTCTTCGTGAACGGAAATATATCGTCTCCTTCCCTCGATCCCGATTAGAAGTCGACCGTAGGAAGGTGCAACCTTGCTCGTGTCGTCTCGTGCGATTATTGTGTTTATTTTTCGCTCGCGAGAGATGCGATCGCGAGGTCGGTTAGAGACTGCGGGAAGAATTGGCGACGACGAAGCATTGCTTTGCACACGGGCTTGTTGCTACTTTGTAAAATATTATTAGTGTGAAGCGTCTCGATCCGCGATAACGCGCGTCGACAATCAACGAGATTATAATCTAGACGACTATAGGTGTGTGATGAGTGATGTGAGACGCGCGAAGGATGTCTTGTCGATCTTCGTATCGCAAGTCGGCGTCACTCGGTCGTCTCGCGAAGCGTCCAGCGCTAAAGTGTCGGCTGCGTAAACGACCAGACTCCGCGACTTTGTCTTCGCGACGACGACGACGAGTGACACCGCCTCGTGTACCCTCCCCGCGCATAGGACAGTCACAGAGTAGTTTTGACAGTCTTGGCAGACAAACGCCACTGCGAGAAGACCCCCGCGCTTCAGGATAGATGCATCAGATTTTATTATTTCTACGGAATGTTAGTGAATTATCTCGATTACTCGCTGGCTTCAATCGGCCCTTCGTTCAAAGAAGTCGATTTTGTTTATTCGAAGCAGCGCTCATTCTCGAAACTTTCATCGAGAATATTTCTCGTCGAAGAGGAAGACAGAGTTGTTGAATATCCGCTTTTTCTACTTGTTCACTGAGATACGGACGGTCACTCTGGTGCATCTACCCCGCGGCGGTGTACGTGAAACGTGGCTGCCTGTTTATGCAGGCCAGATACAGGCGAGGAGAACGCGAATTGGATGGAAAGAATAGGTCGATCGATCACT